GGATTTGAATTAGGTGGTTCCTCCTTCGTAAGGATGAAGGAATCCTTGGCATTTTGGGTGGGGTAAGAAGTATTTAATGAACTGCTAGTAGGCGTGGGGTTAGTGGTAATGGAGGGAGGCACCAGATTGGTGGAAGAGTCAATGATTGAGTCTTCCAATTCTGTGTCTTTTGGTTGCTCAATATCTAGATTAATAGGATAATTGATTGGTTTTCTAAGGGTGTGGCCATTTGGCTTCCTTTTTCTATGTCCATTGCCATTTGGCCAACATGCGGAGGGATAGTGATCTTGCCATATCTTAAGGAAGGATTTTATTGAGATCCTTCGGATAACACAAGATTTTGGAAAGATTTTTGTATTAGGTGAGGGTTTAGGGTAGTAGGGGTAGGATTAATAGGAGGGTTAGAAGTGTCCGTTAAGGTGCCATTTTGCATGGCATTGTTTGTATCTAAAATGTTGGTATCATTTGATGCAACGTTGGAATCACTCATACAAGTGTCATTTTCTCCAAATGGCAAGTCATCACTTAATTGAGTAAATTTATTATTACAAAGAAAATTAGTAGTAGCCATAGTGGTTTTTGGCGAAACCGTTAGCTTATTGACAAAGAAGTGGTTTTTGTTTAGAGTAGTGGTTTAATCTTTTGCAGTGATAGGTTGAGTATTAACTTTTGGGGGTTGAATAGAAATGGGATGATCTTTAGTTTTATATTGAAGCATTTGAGTATCCAAATACTTACCTGTATTAGCGTTGAATAGTTTAACCAAAATACCTTGACCATTACTGCCTTTTGCTTGGGTGTTGGCAGGTTGAGATGGAATTTTTCTACCTTGATTTTTTCTTTTATTGAATGAAACAGTTATCCATTCTGCTTCATTAACTCCCTTTGTAGTTGTAGGTTGATGCACTTGTCCTGCATGGTGAGGATTGTTGCTTTGCTTCTTGATATAGTTGCACTGTCTCATTGTGTGACCAAATCGACCACAGTTTTTGCAAAGGAAATCTTCCCCTTCATAGTGAATGTATTGCTTGTGGTGTCCAACAAATAAGTAGGGTTGGAGTGGGATTTCTAGAGGAATTTCAACACAAATCCTTGCATATCGACCTCTTAGGGTTGTTGATGTACATGTGTCAATTTTCTGTAGGCGTCCAATTGCATTTCCAATTTTTTCCAGGATTTTACCATCGTAAAATTCTGTTGGCAATTGAGGAAGCCTAATCCATACAGCGGAGGTAGTCAATTTTTCATTTTTAGCCACAAAGTTAGGTTTCCATCTGGAGATGGACAGGAAATGGCCATTTATGAACCATGGGACTAGGTGGATAGCTTTATCCATGTTTTCTTTCTTTTTGAATTGGATGATATAATAATCTTCTCCAAGATCATTTAGTGAGAAATCTTCCGTTAGATTCCATAGATCTTAAATTTTCCTCTTTAAATAATGATGTAGCATACGTTTTCCAACTAGTTTGATTATGATAGAATATTTCCATGGTTCATAGATGCGCTGTCTATCCTCCGTTGAAAATTAAATTTTTATAACTCCTATTGAGATATCTTCTGGATCATGCACAAGCTCCTTTTCTTCCATGGAGTTTGTTGCGTAGAGCATATCATCTTGCTCTATTGTAGGAGCAAAATCCAGTGCGTTTGATTCTATCAATTTGTCTTTAAAGGAAGTTAACTTTTTCAAATCATTTTGCAATGAGTTGGGATGGACTATGTCCTGTGATTTTGGAGGAATAATATTTTGGTTTTCCACGGGCTGGGAGTTCATCTTATAGAGAAGCTAAGAGAGAGAAAAGTATTGTGTGGGTTGACAGTCTACTTGTCTTTATTATCACTTTTGTTAAAAAAGTTTTTGACTGAAAGGTTAAGTTGACTTAATTGAATTCTAATAATCCCTTAATCACGTGACCAACTAACCCAGTCAAATTAATGATGAGTTGATGACTATAACTATTGTAAGATTCTTTGGACCACAACAATCTCCAAGAGTCTTTTTAAATTATAATATACCGCTATCATTAATGTTTTGTCAGAATAAGGAGTGCAGTTTTTATGTTGACTCCACAGTAATAATCTCTTATACTGAAATTTACCTAAGGGTAAACCGAAACAAATGAATAATTAGGCTATTTGGACTATTTAAAAAAAAAATTTAAGTAATTTGTAAATCACTGTAGACTTTAGAATTCAGTTCGTTACTTTGAAATAGAGCATTTCTACTTCATCAATTTGAGAAGTATTTTACGTGAAATATCAATTTTAATTCATAAAACTTAGAACTTTTTTACGTGAAATTCATCATATGAACTTATGAGTTTGAGTTTGAGATTCTAACATAGAATATTTAATTTACCAATTTTGAGAACTTGCGTATTTTTCTAATTTAGTGAACCCATAAGATGTATGTTATATGTGCAAATATAATTTTTACTTTCAATTTTTTTCCTTCAAATTCAACTTGTATTGTATTAAGCAAAGGACTTATCTATGAAAAGTCCCAGAATTGCAGTGGGATTTGCAGTGGGAAGCGTGTGGGAAGATAGATAGTGGGACCAAACGTTTTCTACATTGTCATTGATAATCCACTGTAAAAAAGGATGCAGCCTTCAACAATTTTTTTAACCGCGTTTTATATATTTTGGTAACTAAATTTTTTTTCCACCTAAAAGAGTATTTTGAGTCCAAAAACACAACATTTCGGTTCCGGACTCTTAAACCACACTATTGTTCAATTTCTATTGCCTTTTTTTCTTTTTCTTTTTCTTTTTTCTTTTTTCTTTTTGGTTTTCCCTTTTTAGTTTATCTTTTTTTTTTTAAATGAAGAAAAACAATGATTTTCAAATATGGGAACATGATGGGAAGTTTTCTTTACATGTTTATTTTTTAGTTGCATTTGATTCCTTTTATACTCCTAAAAATAATAAGTATAGTTTATATAGTATATAATAGTTGTATGAATAATATATATATATATATATATATATATATATATATATATATATATATATATATATATATATATATATATATATAT